TGTTTAAAATCTCCTAATCTCTCAGCCCACATGGCATAGTCCATCTGAAGTCTCTCTCTCTCATATAGGTGTTGATCCGTGTCCATGCCTGTGGAGTGAACCCTGTGGAAACTTACATCCGAGCTGGGACGTATGCAAGGAAACCCACCCTGCCTTACACACCTGGCTCTGATGTAGCAGGAGTGGTGGAATCAGTTGGAGAAGGAGTGACTGCAGTGAAGGTTAGAGTACAGACGACTGTATGGATGTGATAGCAGCTACATGTCAGTGCAGTTATATAATCATGTGGGATCAGTCCTCCATCTTCTGCTTAGCATCACTTAAAACTTGTGTAAATCCAAGTTCAAGTTCATCCTGTAGAAAATACACAGAGACAATGTGAGAAGGAACTCTTAAATAAGGAGATACAGGAGGTGTGCACAGTGTGTGAACATGTGTGTGTTTTCCAGGCAGGGGATCGTGTGTTCACCACAGCTACAGAGACTGGAGGCTATGCAGAGTACACTGTAGCAGCTGGCGACTCTGTTTACAAGCTGCCTGATGCTTTAGACTTCACACAGGGAGCAGCCATCGGGATCCCGTACTTCACCGCCTACAGAGCTCTGATCCACAAGTAAGACACACCTGTTCTAATCAGGGTGAGCTGTAGCAGGATTCCACCATCTGCAGATCTTAAAGAGCAAAGCAATGAAATTCAATATAATATTCAATGTAATATTTCTAATTCAAATTACAAGGTCCAGTAAAAATCTTTTAGTGGGCTTATATAACAATAGAAAGTGCTGAAAAAGTAATGTCAGCTAAAATATATTATAACAACAAGAAATACATGTATCTCTTCCTGCATATGACCAAGTCTACACAGCTGCGTGGTACTTATACTGCCCTCTGGTGGTCAAAACCTTGATCTTCTTCCTTCCACACTGACAAGTCCAGATATATGCATATCCCAACTCTGAACATACATCATGTTACAAAGGAAAGATCAATGTTTTTAATAGAGGGGGTGGTTAATTAGTAATGCAGCACCATACTGTTAACTTTCACCTTCTCTGTGGGTTTTTTGTGTTGTGCAGAGCGCACGCCAAGGCTGGAGAGACCGTTCTTATCCATGGAGCCAGTGGAGGGGTGAGACTGTTCTTCAGCTCTAGGAGATATAGCTCCAATTTCTAACAAGTCATCATTAGGCTGACCTAGATCCCTAAAATATCCTGCAAGGATGCCAAAGTATAGTGACACCAATCCGATACATCTAAACATATTTTAGGAGCAGCTGTTGTATTAATCTGTTTTTAAAGCCCGAAAAAGATTTTGAACACTTGCAGTGCTTTCCTGATCTGTAGGTCACGCTAAAACTTGTTTTGCCTTTCTTTCCCTTCAAAAGTTGAAGTGTTATGTGTGTGAGTGGGTTAAGGGAGAGTATGATGGAGAATACAGTGGAACCCCGACTTACGAAATTCATTTGTTCCTGAGGGTCTTTCGTAAGTCGAAGATTTTCGTAAGTCGAAGCACCCATCGCGCCTTTTGAGTGAGGCGATGCTGAACGATAGACTATAGACTAATTGCTAACTAGAACAACAATACGTCGTTCAAGTGGAACAGCGAAGCGCAATTACGAAAGCCAAGGGGTTGTCACATGATTCGGAAGGCATTCTGGGCATTCTGGGCTCGGCCAATCAGAGCCAGCGGATTTCGTAAAATGGGCATTTTGCCGTAACACGGGAAGAAATATTGGCATTCAGTGCCTTCGTAACTTGAATTTTTCGTTTAACGGGGTATTCGTAAGTCGGGGTTCCACTGTATTACAAAGTTTGTCCTCGAGTCTAAATACTTCATTATGCATTATGAAAAATATTACAATATTGCACACAAAATACTAAAGGAATGAGCAAAATGTGTAGAAGGAAGAAAAGTAGTCCTGATACTGATCCCTGTGGGACCCCATATTTGATAGTTATACTTTGAGATTTTTACCATTTACACACACATATTGCTCCCTTTCCTTTAATTTAATTTGATTACAAATATCATTCACACCTAATGTAAGGGAGCTTGACTTCTGTTTTTATCTCTTGGTGTAAAAAGAAAGAGTTTTAAAAAATGGCTTTTGTTTATAAGTGACACCCTGAAGAGGGCTAATAGTTATGGATAGATTTTCTTTTCTCGAGATAAAATATTTAATAAAACTGTTGGTAATATTTTCATGATGTGGAACATTTCTGGCATTTTACTCGACCCTGGTGTCATTGAGCATATTTGTAAGATGTGTGCTATACCTTCAAATCATACTGCCTGAAGGAAGCATGTACAGTAGGATGCAAAAGCATTGGCAACCTTGTTAATAGTCATTATTCTCCTGTATAAATCGTTGGTTGTTACGATAAAAAAATGGCCACACAGCCCCACAGCATGATGGAACCACCACCATATTTCACTGTAGGTAGCAGGTGTTTTTCTTGGAATGCTGTGTTCTTTTTCCTCCATGCATAACGCCCCTTGTTATGCCCAAATAACTCAATTTTCGTTTCATCAGTCCACAGCACCTTATTCCGAATGAAGCTGGCTTGTCCAAATGTGCTTTAGCAAACCTCAAGCGTCTCTGTTTGTGCTGTGGGCGGAGAAAAGGCTTCCTCTGCATCACTCTCGCATACAGCATCTCCTTGTGTAAAGTGCGCCGAATGGTTGAACGATGCACAGTGACTCCATCTGCTGCAAGATGATGTTGTAGGTCTTTGGTGCTGGTCTGTGGGTTGACTCTGACTGTTCTCACCATTCGTCGCTTCTGTCCATCCGAGATTTTTCTTGGTCTGCCACTTTGAGCCTTAACTTGAACTGAGCCTGTGGTCTATCATTTTCTCAATATGTTCCTACCTGTGGAAACAGATGGCTTAAATTTCTGAGACAGCTTTCTGTATCCTTCCCCTAAACCATGATGGTGAACAATCTTTGTCTTCGGGTCATTTGAGAGTTGTTTTGAGACCCCCATGTTGCTACTCTTCAGAGAAAATTAAAAGAGGAGGGAAACTTACAAGTGACCCCTTTAAATACTCTTACTCATTATTGGATTCACTTGTGTATGTAGGTCAGGGGTCACTGAGCTTACCAGGCCAATTTGAGTTCCAATAATTAGTTCTAAAGGTTTTGGAATCAATAAAATGACAACAGTGACCCAAATTATGCGCCTGCCTGATTGTGTTTAAACAATTATTGCACACTTTCTGTAAATCCAATAAACTTAGTTTCACTTCTCGAGTATCATTGTGTGTGTCTCCTATATGATATATTTAACTCACATTTTTTATTGTAACAACCAACAATTTATATAGCAAAATAATGACTATTAACAAGGTTGCTCAAACTTTTGCATCCCACTGTATAATCTAAACAGAACTGGTCCTATCACAGAACCTTGTGGAACTCCATAATTAACTTTATTGTGGGAAAAGGATTCTCCATTTATATAAAGAAATCGGAGTCTATTATACAGATATGATTCAAACCACTGTAGTATCTGATGTGTAAAAGATTTAAGACCATATTAGTAAACCTCCTGTCTAATAATCATGACATCTAAAACCTAAGGATAAGGTAAAATACATAAATTCAGTACCTTATATATAGTATCTTGATTTAATGTACTTACTCTTATGGTAAAATTATGTTGTTTGACCTTTTCTGGCCTGATTGTGTATGTCACTGCTGTATAACTAACATGAAAACAACTAACCAGGGTAACTTTTTCCCCAGTTTTTTACACTTTTTTTTAATACAAGATTGTGTTAGTTTATGAACTAAAGAGATGCAGTTTTCTAGAACAAATTGTCTTTAATCAAATAATATAAACAGAAATGGAGTAAATAAATACAGTGGGGCAAAAAAGTATTTAGTCAGCCACCGATTGTGCAAGTTCCCCCAC